TGAGCATGGGTTCCCCTAAACTTATACAAACAAAATGACTCACAGTTTGCCGGCCCTCCATGCCCTCCATGCCCCCTCTGAATCACCAGCAAACACTCTGTGCCCTGAACTAGGGAATCATTGCATGGTCTTTGCCCCAGTTACTTGCCTGGAACAGATAACAAGCAAACTCTCTCTGGTTAGTTGCTTCTCAGCTGAATGGTTAGGGATCCTGTCCTGAGGTCAGGTCTGCAGGGGTGAGGACCTGATCCGACAGTAGGACAGCAGGAGACCATGGGGGGATCTGAGGCAGGGAAGGTGCTCAGGAGAGGACCTGAGAAGGAAGAGACAACTGTGGTCCTGGAGGCTCAGGGGTCAGGCCTAGAGCTTGTGTTCCTTTGGCCTCAGCAGGGGCCCTCTGAAGCGGTATGCCCAGCTTCTCTGGGCTGGCCATAGAATGTGTGAAAAACAGCCTCAGAACATCACCTCTTTTCAGGGTACACATGTGGGAGTTTGCTAGAGTCGAGGCAGCTTTTAAAGGTGGAGCTTTTCAAAAAGGGAAACTGGGAGCTGACCCCTAAGTTTGTCTTAGGAATAATGTACCCTGCAGAGAGTGCTTTGTGTCAGCCTCATTGAGAATAAAAAAAGCACTCCTTTCCCCATGATTAACGCTCATGTGTCAGGAAAGCGCAGTCAATGTATGCTAAAAATCCACTTGAACAATTAGCTCGCCTTTTTTCCTTATTTGCTTTCAAGGTAATTGTGTAGCTCCTAAGATCATATACTAGGTCGGCCTGAGAACCAATGTTTTAAGAAGGGGAGGGAAGGGCATTGTATACGCTGATGCTGGGACCCAATAGACGACAGGCCCCCTGGCTGGCCTTTGGTTCTCCCAGGAGCTGACAAAGGGAAGGGGCTTGGAAAGCAGCCACTGTCCTCGCCTAGTTTGGGCCTTTACAGACACACTTCTCCTCTTGGCAGCTGCTACGGCGTGGATTCTATACGCTAGCATGAAGCTGGAAACCCTGCCTACCTGGCTGGTGAAATGAGGGTGGCAGCTGGGGGAAACAGGCATCTTAGGAGACTAGAAATGTCCTCCAAAGGGACTTCACAAGTGCTCAGGAGACTAGGGGTGACTGTGTTAAGAAGGATTAGAGGTTGAGAGGGAGCCATGAGCTTGGGTCGTCACCCCAAGGAGACCATCCAGGCACACAGTTCCCAGGCTCAGGAAGCCTCCTCCAGTCCAGCAGGACCCTCAGGGAGCTGTGACTTCATGGAAGGTGGCTCTAAAAGCTTCCTTCAAGGCTCATCAAACTGGGTTTTGAAAGACTTTTTGATCCCTGAAGCTAATTTACACGTTATCTGGGGCCATGGCAAAGACTTGGCCCTAAAGTGGACAGAAAGAGGCTGTGCTGAGTGATGAATGAGACTAAACAGTGTTCTCATGCTTGGTGATTTTGATAAGAACGTACTACATAAGAGTTAAGAGCATTATAATTCCCTTTATCACCATATAAACGTGTCGTTTATCCGGAAAGCATACAATTGATTTGTACATGGGAATGTAATTAAGAAAATTTTCTGAAAATCAGATTGAATCTTGAGAAGCAATTTTCAAGTAAACAAAAACATGACATGTTAATCAGCACTGGATCTCCCCCACCCCCCACATAATGTGTATGTACATATTTCTCAAATTCAGACTGCAGCACAGCTGCCTCCTTGAGGAGGCTTCAGGGGTTCCTAAGCCTAAATTCTACCTCTAGGATCTTGATCCCTTAAGGGTTCATCCTGAGTTAAAATTTTGTTATCCCCGGAAGCAGAGATGTACTGACTCTGGTGATCTCAGTATGAATGTGTTATAAAATCTTCTAGGTGTCTGTGATGGGGCCTGAGGGAGGGTAGGAAAGGTGACGAGGAAAAGGCAGAGGGAGTCTGAACACCTTGCGTCTCAGGTACGGAGTGAAGAAATCACTAAGGTGAAAAACAGGCTGGGGCCCGGAGCTCGTCCAAGTCCTGATGAACAGTAAGTCCTGGGCAACATCACAGGTCACCAACATACCTTAAGCCCCAGGATCAAACATGGTGGAAGAGCACAGCCATCTAGAAAAGCAGAAAAAAGGCCGGGCGTGGTGGCTTACGCCTGTAATCCCATCACTGGGAGGTGGGTGGATCACGAGGTCAGAAGATCGAGACCACTCTGGCTAACACGGTGAAACCCCATCTCTACTAAAAATACAAAAAATTAACCAGGCATGGTGGTGGGCACCTGTAGTCCCAGCTACTCGGGAATCTGAGGCAGGAGAATGGCGTGAACCCGGGAGGCGGAACTTGGAGTGAGCTGAGATCGCGCCACTGCACTCCAGCCTGGGCAACAGAGCGAGACTCCGTCTCAGAAAAAAAAAAAAAAGCAGAAAAAAGGGAAGATTTTCCATCTTGAACTTGTGAGCTGGAGAATTACCATTAGTAGCCCACTAATAGGTTGTGGCTGATGAGTCACTTCATAACACACTGAGAGCCACTTTTGACACTCCCGGAAAAGGCAGGTTAACAAAGCCCCTCTGTAGAAGGAAGACCCTCATTGCTCAATGCATTCAAGCTTTTTTGAACCTTGCTTAGGCTGAACTGTAAATGTCTTGACTGGTCTGGGCTCCTTAATGCAACTTCTTCCCACAGAAGCCATCAGGAGCCAGGTCTAGGAAGCTCCTCTCCCACACCTGCCTTAAAAGGCCCAGCTCTGCTGGGGAGTAAGGTTCATGGGGGCCATCCCAAGGCAAAGGGGAATCTCCACCATCACCCACCGCAACCACATGGTAGCCACTCTGCAGCCGGTAGGCGTGAGGCATGCTGCGCTAACACAGGAGGGCGGAGGCTCTGCCTGACTTCCCGGAAGCCCAGTTCGAAGCCCAGGACAATCAGCAGGTGCTATGGGAAACTTGGCTGGCAGGCACCATGTCATCCTGTATGATTGGCAGGACCGGCTCCCGCCTGAAGACACCAATTCTTGGCAGCTTCTGACAAGGATTGAGAGGATTTGTGGGAGACAGCCCTGAAGCACTGAGCCCTCAAATCAATGAAGGGATTGTGCTGGCGCAGACCCACAGCCATCCAGCTCCGTCGCTGATGAAGGTCTGAACTGCCATAGTCTGCCCCTTTGGTGTCAGTGTTAAAGGTCGGTTTTAGGTGAGTTTCAACCAGTGGCTGTAGATGGGTCCTTTGTTTACTTACCAGTTTCCCCACATCCTTTCTGAGACCATTGCTAGTTTTTGTCTGCACCAGTCTCGGAAAACAACTTGGACGCCACAGGTGAGAACACCAATGGGCTCCAAGCCAGAGCCTGGGCTTGGGATGGGGTGGGTTACCTCGGCATACTCAAACATGCAGAGGTCGGCGTACATTTCTGTTGGGGTGATCAGACCCAACACCAGGTCGTGGGGGCGATGAAGTCCAACGGAGTCAAAGGAATGAGAAAGAGTTTGAGAGAGAAAGTGGGACCAGGGGGCCATCAAAAGTGTGGAGGCTGGGAAGGCCACGAGCTCTGGGAGCCCACACTATTTATTGTATTTATTGTTGCTCAAACAAAGAAACAGGTTGTGAGGATGTGGGGGTTGAAAGGAAATGGTGTATCAAGTGAATGAGAAACATATGGCTGTTTAAGATAATGGGAATGCTAGAAGCAAGGAGCCAGCAAGTCTAGCAGACATGCAACCCTGCCTCAGCTTCTCTCCTAACACTCAGCTTTTCTTCCAACACATTTCAAGCTGCCCGCTCCTCTTGTACAGTTTGGCGGCCTCATGGAACTTCCCCTGGTAGGAAAACACATCTGCCAGAAACAGGTCATTGTTGGTCTCTCCCCGCTTCTTCCTCTCCTGGAAAAATTAGAAGCACAGGAAATGGCCTCTGCAGCCATGGGCAGGAAGCAGCCTTTACAAAGGTTAGATGTGGCTATTTCAAGTGAGGCCCCTGGACCTTCCTACTGGAACCTGGGCTTGGCTCCTGGCTGTTGTCTCTCTCCCCCAGGTTCCCGCTGGGAACACTTGACAACAAAAGCAGGTTTTTACCAGACAAGCAAAGATCAAAAAAAGATGCAAACCTTTGTTTGTTTAATGGAAATTCCTCAGGGTTGCTTTCCTGTGTATTCCAAGGCTATGACTCATCCATGACCCCTAAGCTCCAGAGATCTCCCAAATCTGCAAGCCCTGTTTGGCAGAGTTGTGGCTCATCCTTTGGCAGAGTTGTGGCTCATGGGGATGACAGAGCAGGAGAATGTTTAGGGTTTCTGCCCAAGAGGGAGACCAATAAAATAGGATGACAAGTCTCACTATGTCCCTACTTTTAAAGAGAAAGTAAGAAATCCCACATGCTGAACATCCACTAGGTTCTGGGTATATACTTTACACACACATGGCCCCTTTATTCCTCTCAGTGACCCTCAGGGTAGGTCTCACTACCCAAGTATTAGAGTGAAGGATGCTGAGACTCAAGAAGAGGAACAGGTCAGGGTCAGACAGAGCTGGAATTTGGATGCAGTTCTGTCTGACTCCAGATATTCCTTGTATCACGTAACACTGTCTTCTGAAGCAAGTGATGTCCCCAACAACACACACACACACACACACACACACACACACACACAGAGCACAGCTGAGGATAAAGCTTCTTCCTTCTGTGTCAGGGAACATTCACTTGTCTACAGCTCGAGTATTTGTAAACACTCAGTAGCACTCAAACCCTGAGCCCTAGCAGTTTCCTTTTGCTTGTTTTCTAGCAAGAGTAGCATATCGGAGGACGATGAGACATTGAATCAAACTCTTAGACAAGCTGGTGAAAGTTTTAAGGACTGAAGGCAACATACTTCCACACTTGACAGAAATCATCTTTCAAAAATCCTGCACGTAGTTCAGGCTTATGAAACAAACTAATTCATAATAGTTGGAAATGAATTAAAAGCTTGCTGTGAGATAAAAGATAGATTTCGGCTGGACCTGATGACTCATGCCTGTGATCCCTACACTTTAGGAGGCCGCGGCAGGAGGATCACCTGAGCCCAGGAATTCAAGACCAGCCTGGTCAACCTAGCAGACTCTATCTCTGCAAAAAAAAAAAACCCAAAAAACCTCCCCAAAAAAAGGTTTTACTAGGCATGAGAATGAGTCCATATCCATTCTAGGCCCCGGGATATCACCGTGATGAATAGAAACGATCTGTAGCACTCAGCAGGTGCCTGTCAACATGGGTAGGTTCCTCCCCGCTGTCAGCAGGACAAGAACATCTCCCCTATCCAAAAGGCACCCACTGAGCATCCGCAGTTCTCTGGAATTATGCTGAGCACCCAGATATGGGCAACTAAGCCCCGAGCAGTCGACGTGGGGTGCACTTGAAGGCACTTCATTGTTTTTTAAGAGACATTCTTAAGAGTTTACTTTAACCCATTTCCCAGCTCATAGCACACGAGGCGAGGCAGGCATTTTGACCTTGGTAAGACCTGACAAATGAAAATAGTTGGACCCCATGGCCATCAGTTACTTTTGTAGAGAGGAAAATTATGTTCCTTGCCTTCAGTGAAGACCCCTAGATCCAGGCCAGTGGATTTACAAGTGAGAGTCAGCAGCACTGGGCATTTTGGGCAATGGCTCCGAACAAGCCCTTTACCCCAGAACATACAGATGCCCCTTATGACACGTGGGTGGGGAGGGTACTTGGCAGAGAGAGCATGAGCATAGGAGACAAGACTGTATTTGAATTCCACTGAGCTTTTGGCTGTGGACCCATGGGGACGTGGCATCGTCTCGCTGAGCCTTAGTTTCCTCCCGCATGGAATAGGAAGAGCAACAGTACCTGCCTCATTCAGTTAACGTGAGGATCTAGAGTAGCATTAACATAAATCACGCGTGGGGCACAGAGTAGCTTCTGTTATGAGGTGTAGCAGGCTGTGAGCTCCTGTCGGCCTCTCTCCTCAGCTCTATGCCCACTGAGCTTGGCACAAGGGTTGGCCCATGACAGGTGTTTATTATGCGGAAATGAATGAGAGGGACAAGACATTTGCGGATTTCCTCACTTTCCAACCAGGAATTCAAATGTGTCTCACATTCCTATACCCTTACAATAAATCTGTTCAGGAGAAAAAATGTGTACGCCTTGTAACAGACAGCCAGGCAGCACTGAGATACACAGAAATTAAGAATAGTGTCTAAGGGCCAGGTGTGGTAGCTCAAGTCTGTAATGCTAGTACTTTGGGAGGCTGAAGTGAGCTAATTGCTTGAGCCCAGGAATCTGAAACCAAACTGGGCTACATGGCAAAACCCTGACTCTACAAAAAATACAAAAAAATTAACTAGGCGTGGTGGTGCGCACACGTGGTCCCAGCTACTTGGGAGTCTGAGGTGTGAGGATTGCTTGATCCCAGGAGGTCTAGGCTTCAGTGAGCCACGATTGTGCCACTGCACCCTGGCCTGGGGGACAAAGCGAGATCCTGTCTCAAAAATAAATAAATAAAAAGAATGGTGCCTACCACCACCCAGCGCCTAGTTTCCTTTGCCCACTGCAGGCCTATTGGGTTTGGATGACAAGGCCAATACTCTCAGCCAGGAACAGCGGGGCTGGGGGTTGCTCCAGAGCTCTGGGATGCTCAGTTCAGACTGTGGGCCTTGCTTCCCAGGTGCATTTCTGGGAGTGGAGCTCAGCTCGTGCATTTGGGAAATCCCTCAACACTATCAGATTACTGGAGTCTGAGAGGATGGTGACCGACTATTCGCCACCATGAGGATACAAACCATTTCCTGAGAACCTACTGAATCCTCACAGCAGCCTGTGAGGTAGGTCCAGTCTCTTTTTACAAACAAGAAACCCAGCCCTGGAGAGATCAGGAACCCATCTGCCTCAGTCAGCTATAATGTGACAGCTCACACTGCCCACTGCTGTCTCCCCCTGTGTGGCCACTCTGCCCCTGGAGCGAGGCTGTGACCTGGATGCCCAGTCGCCAGTGAGCTCTGCTCCCATGTCCTCAGGGCTTTTGCCTGCTGTTACGGTTTGGCCATGTCCCCACCCAAATCTCATCTTGAATTCCCACGTGTTGTGGGAGGGACCCAGTGGGAGGTAATTGAATCAGAGGGGCAAGTCTTTCCCATGTTGTTCTCATGATAGTAAATAAATCTCAAGAGATCTGATAGTTTTAAAAAGAGGAGTCCCTCTGCACAAGCTCTCTTTGCCTGCTGCCATCCATATAAGCTGTGACTTGCACTTCCTTGCCTTCTGCCATGATTGTGAGGCTTCCTTAGCCACGTGGAACTGCAAGTCTAATTAGACCTCTTTCTTGTGTAAATTGCCCAGTCTCACGTACATTTTTTCCCGCAGTGTGAAAATGAACTAATACACCTGCCACAAGGGCTGCCCCTGAACCCTGAACCCCAAGTTCACTTTCTTGACAAATAAGAATGCTTCAACTTTTACCTCAGTGCTGCTGATGAGGTCTTGTACTCTGATGAAGGCCTGTGGGGAAGAAATAAAGAATAAAACCAGCTTGCCTTCTGGCTTCAAAAGTGGGTGATTGGCTGGGGATTGGGAAGTCAAGCTCACCTAGACAGTAAGCCACAGAGGAGAGGAAGGGAGCAAGCAGGGATTAATCATCACGTGTGCAGGAGGTTATACCACTCAGCGAGGCACGGCTTTATCCCTGAAATTGGAACATGCAAAGAACAGCAAAGACATCTCGGTTGCATCAGTCATTTTGGGATCAGGTAAAACAAAACCATGATGCCACAGTCTGTGATGGTGCCTCCTTGGGAGACTCTTGACCCAAAGAAGAACAAGCCGGTCTGACCCTCTGGCGGGGCAGGCAGCATCACAGCAGGAGAGGGTGAGATGCATGGACTGATGAGAGACTGCCTTGCACATCTTGGTGACATGGGTAGAATGCAGGGGACAGCTATGCCTACCCAGTGTTGCCACAGACACAGGGGACTCAGAGGCCCTGGTACTGCAGAGGGAACGGAGGAGGAGAAAGCTGAGAGGGCATAAAGACAGATTCTGGAAGAAGATGGAGGGGTAGAGAATGAATCCCACCAAGTCCATGGAAGGCAAACTCTTATGTAAATCCTAAAATTGCAGCCCTTGCCAGAGACTTTAACTCATGGACCTCTAGAAGTTTCTGAGGAACAAGCAGACTGGTGTTGGCTAAGCCAGTTTTGCTGCTTTCAGATTCTGCCCAGGATTTGGAGGAGCATGAGCCACCAGGTCAGGCTGCTTTCAGGTGGCTTTGCTGTCACCATTTCCACCAGCTGTGCTTGCTTACATTGCCCCATTCAAAATGGGCTGACCTGTGCCTAGAGGAGGCAGCAGCTCCGGAGCCCTTTGAACCAAACATGCAGAGCAATCCTGACCACTTGCAGCCTCCACTCAGCAGCACAGCATCCTCCCTCCTGAAAAGACCTCGGGAGATAAGCGAGTCCCCGGCCTCTGGCTGCCTTGCAGGTGACCACAACGCAACTTCATCTTTTCATCCCACAGGGCCAGGCTTCCTGTCAGAGACTGGGGACCCAGGGAGAAACATGTCCCGGCCCCTGTCCCCCTCCACAATTCAGAGGCCCACATTCTAACCGGGGAGGCTGGCCAATTAAACAGATCATGACATCTAGAGCTAAGAGCTCTCTGACTACGAACCAGATGCTTGGAGAACACAGATGAATGGTCTGAGCATGAGCAGGGGCGGGAGGCAGCGTTAAGTGAGGCATCAGAGTCAGAACATGGCAAATAAGTGTTTGTGGAGAGGAATTCGTAGAAAAGGGCAATGTGGGCATCACATGGGCCAAGGAACAGAGGGGTAGCAGTAGCTGTTGTGCCAAGCGGCAGGTCTTATACGCTACCCTCTAGATCTGGGTTTCCTTAAAGCAACTTGAGAGGACAACCCTGCAAAGCCTGGCATGGTGGCCGAGAGGGAAAGGAGCATTCGAGGTCTCAGTCCTTGCCCTGAGCCTACTTCTCTGCTTCTGGGCTCCAGCCATCTTTGTGGAAAGGGGCCTGCTACTGACACCCTCTCAAGGGTCTTTCTAGCTCTAGGTCGGCTGTGCTGGGGTCTAGGATTTGCCCACTGAGAAATCTGTTTCTGAGTTCCTTCAGCCTGATGCATCCTGCAATGTCACGGCTCCTGGTCAGAGTGGTCAGAAGGCCCCTGAATGCACTCAGTAGAGGGAAGCCTGGGAACAGGGAGGCACCTGCAGCTCTACTCAGGTCCTGGCCGGAACTCAGCAGCTCTTCTCTGCCATCTAGTGGGGATGGCAGTCCGTCACTGGGGACCACCCTGTGCAAACTGGTGAGCCTCAGTGCCTGTCCCAGAGGAAAGAAAGGCAGGGGATACCGGATTTAGATGAAATAGCAACTCCTAGCCTATTGTCAACATCGTCTGGCTTTTTCAAAACATATCGTACTGATTTTCTTTGTTTTTGACACAGAATCTTGCTCTGTCACCAAGGCTGGAGTGCAGTGACATGATCTTGGCTCACTGTAGCCTCTGTCTCCCTGGTTCAAGCAATTCTTCTGCCTCAGCCTCCCAAGTAGCTGGGACTACAGGCATGCGCCACCACACCCAGCTAATTTTTGTATTTTTTTTAGTAGAGTCAGAGTTTTACCATGTTGGCCAGGCTGGTCTTGAACTCCTGACCTCAACTGATCTGCCTGCCTCGGCCTCCCAAAGAACTGGGATTACAGGCATGAGGCACTGTGCCTGTCCCATGTTGTACTTAATAGACATTTACTATATACAGTTATTTTTTAATTTAAATAAAATCAATGAATAGTGTTATTTTTAAAATCTTGTGGCTTTTTTTTTTTTTTTTTTTTTTTTGAGACAGGGTCTTACTCCAGCCCAGGCTGGAGTGCAGTGGCTGGATCTCAGCTCACTGCAAGCTCCGCCTCCCGGGTTCACGCCATTCTCCTGCCTTAGCCTCCCGAGTAGCTGGGACTACAGGCACCCGCTACCTCGCCTGGCTAGTTTTTTGTATTTTTTAGTAGAGACCAGGTTTCACCGTGTTAGCCAGGATGGTCTCGATCTTCTGACCTCGTGATCAGCCCGTCTTCGGCCTCCCAAAGTGCTGGGATTACAGGCTTGAGCCACCGCGCCCAGCTAAATCATTGTTACACAACAATCACTTCCTTTGTTTAGTAATGGCTAGCATCTGTACAACCATTCCTGCTTTAAATTCCCCTTTACAGCATCTCGGTTAAGCCTCATGACTGCAGCAGGCATTCTCATCACCCTCATTTCAGAACTGGGAGGACTGGGGCTCTGAGGCACTGTGCCTGTCCCATGTTGTACTTAATAGACCTTTACTATATACAATTATTTTGTAATTTAAATAAAATCAATGAACAGTGTTATTTTTAAAATCTTGTGGCTTTAATATACCCTTTCTATTCTCAGGGAGTGTTTTGGGGATACAGGCTGGGGAGTTAAATAAATGAATGAATAAACTTAGTTGTTATCCAGGCTGGCCTGAGGTCCCAGAGCCCGTTACGTGGCACAGCTGGTTCTCAGCCAGGCTTCTTAGTCCCGGTCTGGTCCAGTCTCCTCTCTCTTCATGCCTACAAGTCTTGACCTAACCCAAGGCGGGCATCACATCCCTCTTTGCCACTCCTTCAGTATCAGCCCAGGAGTATGCACAAAATGAGCAGCTCATTAATTGACTGTGGGGAGATAAAGAGGGAAGGGGTAGGAGAGAAGGGGTTGGAAGCCATTCCTTCCTCCATCTCAGGTTCTAGATGGAAACACAGCTCAGGAACATACCTGGGCTTTTCCTTATGTGCAGAAAGGGTCAGATGTTTTCAGCCATCTCTCTAGCTTTCATAGACTAGGCCAGGAAAGGACACAACGAATCAAGTCCATGAATCCCGCCATGAAGGTATGTGGGAAGTGTCTACATTGCTGTCAGAATCAGAGACCTTGACCTTAGCTGGCAGATGCTAAGAAAAGCAGCATTGTGTGCAGCATCATGGCCAGTGATTACACCGATAATAAAAGCCGCCATTTACGGAATGCCTATGATGTGCCAGGCTACTACCAGGTGCTTCCCATAGATGACAGCTAATAAGAGTGACAGCCAGAATCTGAGATGCTGCTCCTGGATCAGGCTTTACAGGAACCTTCCCATTCGATCCTCAAAGCTTTGTAAGGATGGGGCCTGTCATCACCCTACATCTATAGAGAAGCAATCTCAGAAAGGGTGTCACCTACCCAGGCCCACAGTGAGGAAGTGGCTGAGCTTAGATCTAAGCCCAGGTCAGCCTAACTCCAGAGGCTGCTGCAGTCTGTGGCCTTTCCGTGCCAGCTGGGTCCCCATCTGCCTTCTTAAGGGACCCCACAAGGACCAAACTCCAGCTTCTGCTGGCTAGATGCTTACCTTCTTTGCTGTTTCAAAATCTAAACCTTCTAGAGCTTCCATGGCCAGTTCACGCCAATCAGTGTCGGTGACACCCAAGCACGCAATCTGGTAGGCCTCCTTGAACAGTTTCCTATCCAGGTACTGGTACATGGGAGCAGACTGCAGGATTTCATCAGGGGTAAAAAAGAAGACTGTTTTCAGAGCCATGGAAAGAGCCAGATTCAGACAGAGCCTGCCTCCAGATGCGTGGGACAATTACCCACGCCTGGGGAGCAGCCCTGCAGCCATCAATCAGCACCCTGCCCAGCCTGCCCAGCCCACTCTGTGTGCTCCATTCTGCACCCCTCTCACGGCTGGGCCACTGTGCTCCACAGCACAAACTCTCTGCCCATCCTCCCCTCCTTCCCACCTGTGGGCGTGCCTCACCATAGGATGTCATCCTCGCGTGGAGTGCCTTTGCCCCTCCCCGCTCTCCCTCTGGAAAATACCTATTTGGCTTTCAAGGCCCTATTGAAATGTCACCTCTTCTGGAGAGTCCGCCCAAGCCCCTCAAGCCCCCACCCCAGGTGAAGGAGTCTCAGCTTCCTCTGCCCTTTGTCCAGATCTCGGGTTGTGATGCAGTTACAGGCCTGTTCCCACAGCAAGGCCGTGCACAGCCCGTGGGCAGTGGTGGGTTGTACCAGCCTCCCTTGGCAGGCCCCCAGGCAATGTTTGCTGACAGAATGAGTTCCTGGGAGGAAGGGGTCTGGGATGGCCTCTTCTTCCAGGGACTGAATCCAAGAAAGGTAAATGATTTGCTCCAAGTTACCCTGGAAGCCTCTGGAAACAAGTCTCCTGCTCCCTGCACTGGGACCAACGCCTTCGTACAAGATGGAGTTGCCCATGAATAGTTCCTAACGACTTCTCTTTCTTAGGTTTATAAAGGGCTTTTGGCTGTCCCCATAGGCCTGTGCAGTAGGTATTATTTCTCCCTGGCTACAGCCCAGGAGACCGAGACTCAGAGAGGACAACTGACCTGTCCCAGCAAATAGCTGGCAATAGCCAGAGGTGACTGGACTCCAGGTTCTATGCCCCTTCCTGCCAGGTATGTGGTTGTGTGTATATGTGCATATGTGTGTATGTGTTACCAGTGGAGAGTCTTGACCACAAGCCATCAGATTCTTGGTGTTTTCAACAAAGAGCTGAACAAAATACACAAATAAAGCCATGAAGGAACGAAGCAACAAAAGCACAGATTTGTTGAAACAAAAGTACACTCCACAGAGTGACAGCAGGCTTGAGGAAGAGGCTCAAGAGCACCAGTTGCAAAATCTTCTAGGGTTTGAGTACCTTGCAGAGGTTTCCCATTGGTTACTTTGTTATACCCTATGTAAATGAAGGAGTGGTCCACAATCATTCTGATTGGTTGCAGAAGGGGGCCAATCAGAGGTACTTTTCATTTTTTATTTCCTATGCAGTGCAAAGGGAGCCTCTGATCCTTTTGTTACTTCGGTGTGGAGAGGTGAGGTTTTCCTTTTGATTCAGTTCTAGGAAGTCAGCATGAATCAGCCTTAGGTTTCCTCCCTCCAGACCCTATTCTCCTACGTCATGCGGGAACAAGAACCAGTCTGAGTTTGGCCAGGATGTCTTTAACAAGGAAGGGCCTTGCCCTTGTTTTAGGCCAGCCAGTGTGCTTCAGGGCCTGCGTCTCTCCTGGCTTCCTGGGCAGGAAAGAGCAGTCACCCAGGACCTCTGTGCTGATGGTTCCCAAATGTGGATGTGGAAGTGCTGTTTTCTCTGTTTGGGGCCTTTATCTTTGAAATTTCCAGTCCCATTTTTTAGTTTTAGTGTTGAAGGCAAGTTTTTTCTTTTTAAGCTTGTGTAAACCAAAAGTAAGAGTCTACGCCCTCCATGCCTCCCTTGAATGAACCCCTCCCCTTGGAGAAGGGGGATTCCTAAAAAACTAGTTCCAACCATCATGGGCATAAGGGGTCAGACATGCCTCATTTTACCCTCCTCCCTTTGGAGTTTAGACACAATGGACCAATATTAACAAGAAAACTGGGGTCTCAAGACTGACAAAACAGACTCTGTAGCAATGAGGCAGGATAGTATCTAGTCTGGAGGCAGGGAACTTAAGGCCAATTCATGCTGAATCAAGGAAAAACACCAAGGTCTGGGTGGAAGCAGGGAGTCTGAGGCCAATTTGTGCTGACTTCCCAAAGCTGGATCAAAAGGGAAACATCTGGGTCTGGAGGCAGGGGCCCTAAGGCCAATTAATGCCAACTTCCTGAAGCTAAACCGAAAGGAAAAACCCAGCTCCCCATGCCTAAGTAGCAAAGGGTCAAAGGTTACTCTTTCTACAATCCTCCCTGTTCCACTGTGGCTTAGACAAAAAGGGAGAGTGGCTTAGAGTGGCCAGGGCCAAGCAGGGATCATCCCTTCATCTGCATAGAGTGCCATTCACCTCAGTCTTTACTTAGCCACAGACCAAATCCTTCAACTATATAAGGGGTAACTGATAGGAACCTCAAAAGGAGTACTTGAAACCCAGAAAACTTTGTAATCAGACCCTTGAGCTGCTTGGGCCCACTCCCACCCTATGGAGCACTTTCTCTCTTATAAATCCCTGATTTTGCTACTTCAATCCTGTGTTTCAGTCCTTTGTTACTTAGTGTGTTTTGTCCAATTTTTTGTTCAAAACACCAAGAACCTGGACAACTTACACTCAAGGCCCTCCTTCCAGTAACAGCAATAGAACACTGTATTTCACCTTGACTCCGATATAACATTGATGGCAGTGGCTACTCCAGATCACTGAGTTTTGGACAATCAAATGTAGCCAGCTGTTCTACTGTAGCTCCCAGCTGCAGCAGGGAGACGTGGCTGGGGCTGCACGCTCCATGAAGCCCTTCCAAGTTAGGGTGGGAGCTCCCCAGGTGCCACTGCAGCTGCCCAAACCATTGGGTTGTAGACCTGGGCCTCCCAGTCCACAGAGCAGGCAGGACCCCCTGCCCTTTGGGGCAGGGCTGTAGCCACCCAACTTGCGGCTACAGGTCTGAGCCTCCCTGTGCTCTTGGAAGGCCAGGAGCAAGCAGGATCCCTGCCTTCCTGGGCACAGCTGTAGCTATCCAAACCATGGCTGCAGACTCAGGCACCTCTGCACTCTTGGAGGCCTGGAAGGTCCCCCTGTCCTTGCCGGCTCAGCAGTGCCCGCTCCCATTGCCTGGCTTCTCCCTGCTGTTGATGCCCACTCCAATCTTGGAGGAATGTTGGGGCCAAGCTCTGGTGTCATGAATGGCAGCAGGAGTCAGACAGGTTCCTGGATGGAAGGGGGCAGGTCCCCAGTGAGGTCCCACCTTCAGGCCAGGGAGGGTCTGAAGGCTGGGAGCCAAGCTGCCAGTCCCAAGGACCAGACAGGGAACTTGTGGTGCCATTTCCAGGCCCACC